ACAAACTACATTCCTCTTGTTCTCAGTTCTGGCCATGGCTTGTGCAGTGTTAGTTTGTGCTCTGCTCCGGTGACAGGGCTGCTGTGCTGATAATCTGGGGTTTGTGTCATATTGGGGTTGTTCTTGTGGGGTTCTTTTTTGATCTTTTTTTGGTGTTCTTTTGTACCCTTTTGCTTCGGGTCCCTGTTTCTTGACCTCTGTGCCAGGTTTAAATTCACTTTTGTTAAGTCTCTGAACAATATACCACGTCTGCAAGGGCAGGTTGTCGTGCACTGAGAAGCAAATGAGAGAGAGGATATTTCTCAGAGGTTGTTGTTTAAAGGATGCTTCAAAGGCACTGAAAACAGCTCTTGTCTCTTTTATGTTTTCATCTTCTGAGCCCCCAAATACTGAGTTTCATGTGTCTCAAAACATTTTCCTGTCAAAAGAGAGGTGTGAGGGCAGTGCTATCAGGTGGTTTGGTGTTGCTTTCAGTTGACCAGGACAATCTATTTTGGCTGCAGAATGATTTGGTGCCATAACTTCATTGCTGGTGGCTGGTCCTTGTGTTTGAGCTTGAGTAGAATTTTTATTTGAACCTAGACCTTCCTCAAATAGCCTTTTCTTCTCTGATAGGCCTCGTGTTTGGACAACCTTTCCACTGTCACAAGCTGTCATTTGGCTCATTTGTCTCTGTTGGGTTGGGGGGTTGTCTTGCAGTTGGCTGATTGCAATTCTGGCTCAGCTCAACCCTCTCTTTGGGCCTCAGTTAAGCAATGAAACAATCTGGTACCTCAGATATCACTGGCCTTGAGGATGCCTGTGCTGTGCTGCAGTTCATTGGCAGGTGAGTATGGTCAGATTTATTGATATATTTGGTGTGTTAAAGCTTCAGGAGAGATTGAATAGTAATGTGAGCAGTGTGCTCAACCCACTGTAGCTCTTTTGTAGGAGAAATCTGCCTTTGTGTAGGCTGCAACAAAACATTTTGGATGTTAGTCTGGATTGGATATGTGAAAAGCTTGAACTGAATTATTGACAGTCATTTTTCTTTCTATCCTGTCGTGTAGTGCTGTGTTCAGGGGTTTGTAAGGAGAACAAAACACTACTTCCAAAAAAAGATATAATTGGACTGAGTAACATAAGTGGATTTCCTAATCTTTACCAATTGTTAAACCTCTCCTCAAGCCTGCTACCATTTCATCTAAGACCTGTCCTGATTTCCAAGGCAACACAGCGTTGCCCTCATTCATCTGGGAAGTTGGAATGGGAGCTGCCATTAGAATGTTCTTTATCTCCTGAGCTCACAGCTTGGTGGTTTATTTTGTTTTTAATGACAGCCTGTGTGCAGCTTTAATCCCGGCTGAGCCTGGTGGTTGCTATCAGGGCACTGCTGCTGGAATGTGGTTCTTGCAGTTCCTGGGCTTTTTGACATGGCCAGCAAAAATAAATTGTACTAAAAGTACCTTAATGCTGTTGGGCTTGTTCAGGAGGGCAGCATTTGGAATTGAATGTTCAAATGAAGGAAATGTGGAAACAAGCAGCCATGATTATACTTTTTAAGCTGGTATCTGAATAATTAAAGACATTTTTTGTTTGTCCTTGTACAACACAGTCTCAGCTCAGTGCAGCAGGCAGTGACAGCTGATGTTACAGCTCTGTTAAATGCTTTCTGTGAAGCATCCTGGACATTTGCTCCCCAGTTTCAGAGAAGGCTTCCTGGGAACTGGGATGTTGTCAGGCTGGGCCCGTGTGTGTGTCTGCAGCTCGTTTTAAGCACCAGGCAGAAGCTAAAGGTAGACTTGGCCCTGCTTCAACTCCAGGCCTGTAATTAGCTAAGTCAGTCAAGCAGAATTTCCTAGGAGCATTTTCACTGCTTGGGTGCTAACATATAATTAGTTAGCTAAAACAGAGAACAGTGTGTTTTGGTAATGGGCACAAAGATCCCTGAATCCCATAGGATGATTCAGTTGCCTGGGATCTGAAATTGGAGTTATCTGGACATAAAAATTGGGTTTCGTGGTCTGTGTGTTGAAAGCAGCAAGGAGAGGCAGGAGGTGAGACACAACCTCTGGACTCCTGCTAATAGAACCAGGCCTTTCCCCTCCATTCCAGTGGAGGATTTTCCAGAGAACTGGAGTTAAATTTGTACCAAGGAAGAGAGAGACCTTGTGTGTTTGAAGCTGACTGCAGAGTTTCTGAGGAGCTGTCGTTTTTAAACTCATTAATGGAGCATTTCAGCACATGCTGTTTTGCTACATGAAGGAGCTTGTTTTAACCTTTCATCTGATTTTATTGGCTTGATTTTGGAATAAAATTAAGGTTGTTGTCTCTGAAAAGGAAAGGCTTATAAAAGTAAAAGCATATAATAATCCTCAAATATCTGTTCTTTGTTGCTTGAAATGTGCTGTCCCAGGTCACACCCCTGCAGTGTTGTTTGAGTGCTGTTGCAGGGCTGAGGTGCTCCATGTCCTGTCCTTGCTCCTGTGGAGTTTGTGCCTAGACAGGAGCTGTGAGTGAGATTCCATCTGATAAGAGCTGGGATGTCTCTCTGACACTGCATGGATTCCCATCAGTGTAGCAACCAGTTATTTCTGGATTTTGAGCTGTGCTTTTCCAGCATTCAGGGGGACATGTACTATAGTTGTTTCTGCCTCCTGTTCCTTTCAGTTGAGTTTTGGGTGGATTAGTATGGAAAATGCAAAGAAAATGAAGTGCTAACTCCCAAAGTGGAAAGATCCTTAAAAATAAAGATGATTAAAGCAAACCCATTTTACTTAACTGAGCAGCCTGAAAATGCTCCAGTGAGCTCCTCGTGTTCTGCTGAGGAACTCTGCATATGCTGGCTTGATTGATCTGTGCCAAATTCCACGAGTTTGCTCTGTTTTCAGGCAGTCTCCCTCCCATCCAAGGGATGATTTTATAGCAATTCAGTTGATACATCACCACGGCAGTGGCTTGGATGGCAGCGTGCAAGAGCACACAGAGCTCTGTAGCCACAGTAAATCCAGGCTGTGCACTCTCCCAAGCTGTGATCCAGCAGTGCCTTTTCTCCTTAGCTTGGTGAATTCACAGGCTGTGTTCTCAGAGCAGGAGCTGTCTTTGTGCAAGTGGAGAAGGGCTGTCATCCAGCTCGCTGGGTGCTGTTACAGCAATGAAAACATTTGAGGGAAATAGTTGTTCTACCAGCTTATAATGTAACTATAACTACTTGCAGTAACTTCAGAAATGAAACTGCCAAGAAAACATCCCCACAGATGAATTATGTCCAGTTCTTGACCATTGCTCAGTGTGTTTGTGGAATGGAAATAGCTGTGCCTAACAGCCAGGCCTTCAATTAGCAAACTGTCTCCATGGAAGGAATAATGAAGGTGCCTCTTGCTTTGCAGGTGAAGAAGAGATGAAAACCTCCACTGACCCAAAGGTGCCTTTTCTGTAGCTGGTTGGATATGAAGCCTGCAGTAATGCCTTAACCTTTCTAACATTCTTCAAGTGGCTTCTTCAAAGTCCTGTGTTTCTTTCCTACTATTCCATTTAACAGAGTGCCTAATGAAATTTATACTCCTCTTTGGTACTGTCAATTTTTGACTGTTAACTCCAGATGTGATGAAAATTTCTATTTTTACGGGTCATGGAATCACGTTTCCTGTTCATTTTGTCTGTAATAACTCTTTATATTTGCAGGTCTTAGCTTGTCTGTCATTGTGCTGTTCACCCCTGTTCTGTTTGCACTGGACAAAAATGTGTGCAATAAACTGTGTGAGGAGAGAAGAAACAGTGGTACCATGTGCTGATGGCAATTTTTTTTTTTTCCAAATGAATTGTATTCTTGAGAAATCTGGCCTTAAATTTCTCATGCCTGGAAATAAAACTAATCCTCTGCTTGATACAAAACGTTCTCGTGCCATGTTTAACTGTTATTTTTCTGTGGGTTTAATTGGATACTTGGAGTTGAGCTGAGGATATTTAGATGTTGTGGATAAATTGTAATGAAGTTAACTAGTAGGAATAGATGGGGAACTGTTGCCTGTATTGAGACTTCTGGGGTAGATCTATAATAGGATTAAATTTTCAATTTAAAACTGCTGAAAGGTGCAGGAATAAGTGAATGCTTGTCTTGAGAGCCTCTTTTCCAGAAACTTCCCATTGTCTGAGGGGGACTCAGAGTAGCAAAGGTAACGTGGTTAATTTGGATGAAGCCTTCACTGTGATTGTGACAGGAGGCTGATTTAATCCCTGGCACATTTGGAGGATATTACAGGAGCAAATGGTTTGAATTGAACAGCAAATATTCCAGTTTTGTACTGACCTGACCCTTGCATGTGGAATTGCAGACCTGGGAAAGCACATGGTAGGCAAGAGGATCCTGAGGCTGCTCAGTGTCAGCTGGGATGGATCTGGGCATTTGTTTGCTGAGGAGCAGCTTCAGAGGGTATCAGTGCTGCTCCCTGAGTGCCTCCTTGCCTCACATCCAGATAAATTACAATTATTCCCTTTATTGTTAAGCACAAGGACATAAGGGAATGGTTAATATTTTATTTGCTTTTCCCTCTTGGATAGCACCATTAACTTGTTCAGTGGGACAGCACTCATTACTACACAGGAAATTCCAAGATCCTGACATGTAACTTGCAGATCCAAAACTGGACAGTGTGAATTGCAAAAGAAAGAAGAACGTGCCCATTGTTACAAATAAGCATAGCAGCTGTTGGGACTGGAATAGTGAATTTTTTTGTCACATTACGTTCTAAGAGCTGTATTTTACCATGCAAGATGTTGTACCCTGTCATGTTACACAGACTGTAGCAAATAATTCCTAGGAAAATTGAAACCAAGTGATCATATAAAAACTTAAAAGTTGTTGTTTGATTTATGAAGTGTGTGGAGAATAAAATATGTTGACATTTTATGAAGAGAGGGAGAGAAATACTCCAAGATAACATTGACAGATTTGAGATTTTGAAATATGTTGATCTGCTTGGCGTATTTAGCCTGAAGTGAAATACCCCAAGAGAAAACACTCAGTGACAAAGAGTGCTGTTTATTGTGTTACCACTGTCTTTAACAAGCTTTCTATTTTAGGTTCTAAGCTATCACTTGCTCTAGAAGAGAGAAGTAACAGAGTTCCCATGGGGTGTCTCACTGGTGCTGAATTGAAAGAATTATTCCAAGCCAGGACAAAGAAGCCATAGAGCAATTTTCACCTAGATGCTTCCCAGAAAGACATTCCCCTTTTCCAGAGTGGTTAATATTTCCTCTGAAGGAGATGCCAGGTGGTAGCAAGACTGAAGAAACTGAAAGAATAATGACTGAAGAAGCTGAAAGAATAATGTTTTGTGTGTGTTCTGCTGGATGTTGCATGGTGGCTGGGGAATGGTCTGCTCCTTGTGTGCCAGGAGTTGACACTGCTTGGGATAATTTTTATTTTTTTTTTTTGCATGACTGCAGGAAATGAGAACAGAGGGATTCAGCCACTGGTGTTGAACAAACAGTGCAGGTACCAGAGCATTTATCACACATCCCTCTCTTGTCTGACAGCAGAAGAGAAAGCAGAATGTTCAAGTATAAAAGAAAGAAGTTTGTGGTTGAAATGGAAAACCTGTGCCTGTGTTGAAATATATTTGGGTAAAAAATGAGGAAGGTGAAGGAAGCTGACTCCACAGTCAAGTTGTGAAGACTTTGAAGTCATAAACTCTGGCAATGTGTGGAGTGAGAATTCAGGTCAGGGTCATTTCAAATGCTTGTAACTGCTTTTGTTCATATTGTTTAGGAAATGCAAATATCTGCATCTCTGCCTGCCCCTCACAAGAAATTGTCCTGGAGACTCTATAGAAGTTTACTTTTCCTCTAGTGGAAATCATGGAAGCATTTTATTCCTGTGAAGGGCTGAGTTATCAGAGGTGGGTGGCTGCTCCCTTGTTTCCAGAATTAAATGTCATGGACTCTCTGGGGCAAAAATAGAATAATTGGGGTGAAATGCAAAAACTTCTTTGAAGAATAGAAGACGTTCTTTACAAATAGCAACATAAGAACGGGTGGCTCTATTTTTTACCATGTTTATTAGTAATAATTTCTCCAGTTGTGCCTGAAGCAGTCCAGGCCAGCCACCTGTCACTGTGAAAGGTGGTTGTGCATGTAGCTGAAGACAGTAGGAAAAATTACAGAGCTGTAGGTAGGCAGACGGACCATGCAGGGGATAAGTGCGTGACTGGGGCCGCAGAGAGCAGGACCGGACTGCGGAACGCGAACCCAGCTCGGCCCCAGGAGCCGCGGCCGCGCCTCCGCCCCGCCGCGCTCTGCCCGCGGGCACCCGCCTCCCCGCCTTAAATACCCCCCGCGCGCCGCGCCGCCGTCACGTGACGGAGACAGCCCCCTGCTATTGGACGGCGCAGCCCCCTTCCCCCCCCGCCCCCCGCGCGCGCCCGCCCCCTCGGGCCACGTGAGGGTCGAGTCACGCGATTTCCGGGAACCCGTCAGGAAGGGACATAAACAAACAAACCCGGGGCCGCATGGAGGGGCCGGGCCGGGCCGCGCGGGGCTGCGGCCCCCGCTGAGCACCGTGAGTCAGGGGCTCGGGGGGACCGCGGGGCTCCGGGGGGCTGCGCGGCACCGAGGGCGCTGGGGGCCGGGGGGCCCGGGTGGTCCGGTGGGAGGAGGCGGTGGCGGCGCCGGGCAGGGGGCTGCAGGGAGAGAGGCACGGAGGGAGAGCGGGACCGAGGTGTGTGCCCGGCTGCCGAGGGCGGCGGGACGGGGATGGTGCCAGCGGCCCCTCCGCTGCGCTCGCCCGCCGGGGGGGTGTGGCTGCCGGGGCCGCGGGAGAGCAGCGGGGCGCGGGGGGTGTCCGGTGCCGGAGCGGGGCTCTGGGGCCCGCGGCCGGGCTGGGGGCGGTGAGGAGGAGCTGCAGGGACGGAGCGCGGGCTGAGCGGAGAGTTGTCGGCTTTGCCCCCTCCAGCCTCCGCCCGGCAGGAGCGGCCCGTGCCTTTACAAGGAAAGCGAGTCTCGCAGCGAGCGCCGGGGAGAGGAAAGCGCCGTCCTGCCCGGGGAGCGCGGCCGCTCTGGGTGTGCGGGCGGAGCGGCTGCCCGGGAGCCGAGAGAAGGCTTCGGCAGCTCCTGCTCCTCCTTTCGGGCTCGTAGTCGCCTCCTCCGTTTGCGACCTGTTTGAATGCCCGGGGCGGCCGGGGCTGACCCGCGGCCGTGCGGGGTCTCTGCGGGGTGTGTTGGTGCCCGACGGGCGGCTCCGCTCCGAAGGCTGCGGAGCTGGCGGAGAGGGGTCACCGCTTTGCGAGTGCGGGGCAGGGCAGGACGGGACCGTCCCCGCTCCGGCACGCCGTTTATGTAACGACAGAGCGGCGGGACGGCTGCGAGCCGCGGCCCCGCGAAGGGGCTTCCCCCGGGCAGGGCGGGTGCGCTCCGGCTGCCCGCAGCCCTGACGGGGGTCGCCGTGCGGGGGCCGCCCCCCGCGGGACGCGGCTCCCTGGGCGGTGTGTCGGGCGCGGCGGGGCCGGGGGCGGCCGGGCGGGTTCCCGGAGCGGCGGGCGCGGCTCGGG